GACAAAAATTTCATCACAGCTTGAAAGAGCATCACAAAATTAGTAATATTCCGAAGTTTCGTTGCGAAATGTTGTAAAATGCGGATAAGATAGCCCTGCGAAGTTTGCCGTTTTTCAGTTATTTTGCATTACAAACGGGAAATTGATGATCAGATGATCAAACTGATTATCAATTTCCCATTTGTAATACAAAATGACTGAAAAACGGCAAACTTCTCAAGGCTATATTATCCGCATTTTACAACATTTCGCAACGAAACTTCGGAATATTACTAATTTTGTGATGCTCTTTCAAGCCGTGATGAAATTTTTGTCCAGGCTTGTCTAGATCAAAATTTCACTCATAAGGGGAAAGGTCTATTGCACCACTAAAGCCATAGTATATCCATACTATTTCCATACAATATCCATAATATGAAAATTACAATTAGTATGAAAATTGGATTTCCCTACTATTTTCAACTAAGTTCCATACTATATCCAGGCATAGTATGGAAATTGCAATTGATATGAAAATTGGATTTCCCTAGTATGGAAATTGCAATTGATATGAAAATTGGATTTCCTACTATTTTCAACTGTTCCATACTAAATCCATAGTATTGAAATTACAATTAGTATGAAAATTGGATTTCCCTACTATTTCCAACTATATAAGATCCATACTATCCATACTATGGATATAGTATGGAAACAGTGCCGCAGAGAGGTTGGCGGGGGCCCGGGGCAAACATTTTTTTGGGGGCCCCCTTTTTGAAAAAAAAATTTCCGGACAACAACCTCCCCCCCCGTCGCCAAAAAAATTTCGGTCAGTGTACCATTTTAGGGGTCAAAAAATTTTCCGGACGAGTAGATTGCACGCACCTTTCCAGAGACTTTATCTCATTTTTTATGCATAATTTCGGTACTTAGCCCAATAAAACAGATATGTTCTCCTTTGCGCGGAAATATTTAACACAGAAAAAAGACTGGGGCCCAACAAAAATTTTTCAGGGGCCCCCAGCACCTCGGGGCCCGGGGCAATTCGCCCCCCCCGGCGGCTCTGTATGGAAACAATATGGATATACTCTGGATTTATAGTGAGGCGGATATGTGTACAATTATTGATCAGTAGTTCCCGTTGAGGTTACAATTGATGTAGTTTTATTTGCTTAATGGATATTTGAAGTGGGGCCATCGCTATTTTGCTGCTAACTCCTGAAAACGGGTGATTAGTGATTTTCTTCTATTGAATTCTATCATAGCCAAAACATGTGAAATTTTGTATTCAATTACAACAAATATGAATCATACAAACTTGCATCATCAGAAAGCTTATAAAAAACTGCATATAAGACATTTAGACAGTTTTTTGATTTCTGAAATAGTTTTCGAATTATAAACTGTTAAAAACGCATTTTCAAACATCGAATAATTATAATTAGGGACTTTTAGCGAGATAATGTGCCTAATTTACAGCAATAACCATTTGAAGAATCAAAAAACTGTTTAAAAGTCTTTTATGTAGTTTTTTTACAAGCTTTCTGATGATGCAAGTTATATTTGTCGCGATTGAATTCAAAATTTCACATTTTTTGTTGTAGTAGAATTTAATAGCAAATAATGCTAATAGCATCGTAGCTCTCTAAAAAAAACAGTTTCACGATGGCCCCACTTTTGCATGTTGTTCTACTCATAAAAAGATGCTACTGTGCTTTTATAACTTAGATTCTGCACTTCACTTGGTGGAATTAATATTAGGATGTTAGGGTTTGTAATCCAAGTGAGAATATATACATTTTAAGACCTAACCAGGAACGACTGCGAAAAATGCAGCACAAGGTCCTCTGGTAGGAATTGAACCTAATCACAGGGCCGTAGGTTCAATTCCTACCAGAGGACCTTGTGCTGCATTTTTCGCAGTCGTTCTTGGTTAGGTCTTAAAACGTATATATTCTCACTTGGATTACAAACCCTAACATCCTAATACTCTGCTTTTAACCCTCTTCGGAAGCATCCATGCACATATCCGCCACACTATTAGCGATGCAATTGCAAATTCCATAGTATGAATTTCACTATTTTTTTCTAGTGTATAGAAAAATTTTGAAAAAAATTCCCAGTGATAGCGCATGCCACCATTGGGGTTTGATTCCTGCAGTGCGCAATTAATTATGCAGGCTCTCATTAGAGGCTCTCCTGAGTTACGAGTGAAAAGAGTTCTTAGCTATTCTTGTTACAAGAAGAGTGTAGTCACATCAGCAATAACTTTTCTACCATTCGTTTTAGTCCAGCAGCAACAAAAATGTGACGGAAGAAGTTACGGAGAACGGTCTGAAACGACGGGAGTCCGAAGTTGTTTAATTAACTTACACAAAGCGAGCGCGAAACATTGTTCCTTGCTTTTTAAACAGAAATCGTATATTACATCACATGGTACTCAAAAATAACCCAATTAAATTTTGCAGTACAACCACAAGAACCCGCAAAACATTAGCTTTGGTCAATCAGCGAACCTTTTTTAATTTACACACACAAAAAACACGACGCAGCTGCTCTCTAAAGGATATGACGTGCGCATCATAAATTAGCACATCGACAGATAAATTTGAACTATAATAATTCTTTCATACAAAAACAAAACGCAGCCACCTGTAATACGATATCCATATAAACACTGACTTCGCAGATACACGACTTCCTCGACTTCGCAACCGGCTGAATTCGTGTCAAGTGTCAACTTGCAAGGCAGTTTCTACCTCGGCACTACATTTCAGGTCTTCGTCGTTGAAAGGAAATTATTATTAACGCGGAAGTCAGCCCTCCAGTTAGCCTTCAACAAATAACAGTTTCAACCTTGAACACACAAAGAACTCAAATGCGAATGTGTAGTAGGACGTAAAATAACGAGAAGAGTTTGAATGTTTTGCTGCAATATTTCAAGGAGAGAACACAAAGATATATTGTCATTAATGTTTTAAAGATTTTTAATCGAAGGTTTCACAATGGTTGATGTTTCGAAGCGTCTCAGTGGGTCGCCAACAGTACGTATATAATCTTAATATTAATTTAGTTTATGGTAAAATTTCCTTAGTAAAGTAAGTCTTAGGCAAAATTAAAACCTGGTCAGGTTACTCAGATATTCGTCTGCTTATTCTGTTTAAGACATATTGGTCGGCTATGTTCTATGACTCTCTAATTTGTCTTCTACTATATACACCGTAATATTTGGCAGTGTGCTTTGTTTTGTAACTACGTGTATTGTTTCCCATGCGTCGTATCAACTAAATATGATAATAGAAACGTATTCATTCTCACATCTATATAAAGACATGATAGGATATACAACATATAAGAGATTCAACAATTATTACGGCAAGATTTTATTTTCTCTTGAAAAATATTTCGATATGCATCGCATACCAGGAAATATGGGCTAAAAATTTATTCATTTTAGTAAAGAAATTCTTTCATTTTCTTTCATGGCTTTATGCCTTTATTCTCTTTATTTGCTAGTCTTCGTTATGAAGACATGACGTGGTCGGATTAGATACGAGATATCAGTGAATATATTACAAATCTTTTGACAAACAAATCATTAGGAATTAGCGAGCTAAAACAACTTTGCAACGAGCTTAGATATTACTAATGCATTCAGTTGACATTTCAAAATTTTAGTTCCAACAAATCATTTTAATAGAAAGGAATACAATTAGGAGTTATTGTTGAAAATCACACGAGAATCGCTTGATTTATAATGAAGATAGCAAATTAATTCCTTATAGGCACAGCCAATACGTAATTATGACAGAAGTGCAGGGCGCGTTGCATGACTTAAATCTTCACTATTTTCACTATTCAAATATTATTTCAAAATCAAATAAGTGGCACAAAATGACAAAATATACGGAATTTACAAAGTCGGCTGTGTTTCATAAATCGCACACGTAATTTGAATTTCAGAAATTACTTAAATCGTTTCGTACAAATTAAGATTCAGCGCCTATTGTATTCTGCTGAAACAATATACTGACTATACACTGTATCAATAAATATACAGTACCGCTTTCCGTAATGTACAAGGATCACAATTTTTTTCAAATTTATAACGCCCAGAACTTTAGCGCATTATGTTGGAACGAGTTTCAGCTTTGGATTTATAGGATTAACGCTTTAAATTCTATAGCTGCATGTTGAAAGGAAAATATTTTAATTATTTCGTGTATTGTAAGGTCAATAATTTATTAAATATTACAAAACAAATACAGACGGCACTTCATACTTCACAACAGCTATTTAACATAATACAATATGTTGAACAAAGGGCTTAAGAACCATTACACTTGTCAACTGAGGATTTTAAACTCAGTCAGTAAAGTTATAAAAACCGGTTGATTTTTCCGTGATCTAACAAGGATTTTACGAAGCAATTTACTTAGAGTCTCAATAGGTTTAATACATTCAATTCAAACCATTCATTTATCTATTTATTCAAGCATGAAGTGGTCACAGGATATTACATGGCCATTCCTGTTGCACAAAGCAATTCACCTTTACTGCTTTAGGAATTTGTTTCGCAAATCCAATCGTGAAGCGAGACAGCGAGGAGGTTAGGTACTAACTTTCAGTCGAAAGCCCTTTCGAAATGTCGGAGATTTTTTTCCCTCCATTTTCTTCTACTAACTATACATCCATAATTCATAAAGAAGACAGTTTTCTATTATTTAGGCTGTTTACTTTCCTTCAGTAAACCACAGATGCAGTAAACAAGTCAATTCTGCCTTATTTAAGAAAAGGTAGTTAATAAGACCAGGCCCTCTAACCAGCCTTCATCAATGCTCAAAGCAATCAACTCTAAGTAAATTTAAGTATATAATTGTTTTGACACCAAGGATTTCATTCCCAATCTGCATGCGAGATTAGGCCCATGCATTGGTGGTTATTATAATCAATGATAACACAGATGGATTGAGCTTGTATTGATAATGAAAACTTCACTTCCACGATCACAGTTATTGATCGGTTTCTTTATTTGATATCCAAACATCAAGCAGGCATTTCATGTTGTGAATGAATTACCTTGCTATTGACAATCCAAAGTTCACAGAACCAAATGAATTCCAAGTCTTAACTTGCTGTGCTGGTATTGACTCTTATACCTAGAGCCAAACCAGTCGTCCTTGTGGTCAAGTTCACTGTGACATATGAACAGCCAATATTTTAATTATCATATTAACTATCACATATGAACAGCCAATAATAATTATCATATCTTTTTTTCAAGTTTTTCGATTTGATCACGCCTATCACAATCATGTCAGAGTATAGCATCAAGTCAATAACAATTCCTTCTAGATCTCTCTTGCTTATTGTATGCAAATCATCAAGACATGCATGGATGGTCCCAAATCCACTCGAGAACTCAAAAGAATCAAAAGCGAAACACAATGGAATGTAAACTTGGACAATTATTCGTTCTACATGCGAATCAGTATGTTTTTGCAACGCAAATTAACGGCTTATTGCAATGCAACACGCGCTTAATAAGTACACATTTTCTTTTCCATCGAGCTAAGTCCTTGTGCGCATAATACATGTACACACAATCGGCCGTTTCACCTTAGATCTCGGATATGAAAACTCCATCTTTGGGCAAGTATATCGGCCTGAATTCTTTGCATCTTCTTTGCATTGTTGGACGCACACAGATCTTGCAAAGAAGGTTCTCACGCGCACAATTGCAGCAGTGTCGACGTTGAAGTTGTTATCTTAATCATAACGGCACCGTGTCTAAGCTGTTTCATTGTCAAACTCTGTCGTCTTGGCGGCAGTTATATTGGTTCATCCATTATGGCAAATGTCCGCATCGTTACTATATTCCATATACGTCAGAAGGTCACTCAAGTACAGTTTGAGTTCTTAAAAGAGAAACAAAGTTTCAACAATGCGTAGTTGACACTAATATCCATTCTCCATTGCTGTAGATTCAACCAAAACCGCGCAAAATTTCGAAGAAATGGGTGTCACAACCAAATCTTCTAGGGTAAGTGATCATGTACGATTAACCGATATTCAGGATCACGATAAACAGATTGTATTCGCATGATATACTAACATCAACCCGTCAGCACTCAGGACTTCCTTGAATTAATATTTCCTGCATTACCACAACGCTACAAAAGAATAATTGTGATATCTTAACTGGACTTTTGCTATACAACCAAGCTCGGTGTAAGAAAGGCACTTGTGATAATTTATTAAATACTAGGTTCTCTGAGTTACTCTCCTTGCTAATTTGTACGATGTAATATAACGAAAACACGGTCACAATATGTTTTGCTTTTGTTTTTCACCTGTCCCCATCATTGTTTATATCATGAATCCAAACTTTTTACTCCTGTTCAGTGTAGTGCTGAAACGTTGAATATAACAAGTGTTTTATTGTCTTGTTCTGTTCTTAATGCAGAGGTCATATGTCTTGTACATGTACTAAATCTAAGAACGTCTCCGACTATATGAAGCATTATTTGAAGTGACATGCTCTGAGAATCGGCTAGCGAGCTTCTAAGTCCGCTTGTAAGAAATCCAGGATGGCCAAAGATTACAATTGTTTGTAAATGTAATGTTTCGCGTTGATTCATCATTTCCATGGTAAAATAGAGCTTCGCGTTGGTTCTGTACGACGTAAAGCATTTTGTGTTCAAGCGAATATCCAGCTATATCATGACGTCATAAGGCGCTCTGCAAGTGAAGTGGTCCGATCACTCGGCTAGAGACTCGTCAACCGTTGCTAGGTGACGGTAACGGTGTCTTAAAATGATGGTCTTTTCGAAGATCCGTGTGTATAAATCAATCAGACGACAGGCTTGATGTTAAATATTGATTATTTTGTTTAGAGATGATGTTGCGTGGATAAAAGAGAGAGAAAACATGGAGGAAGAAGGAGTGTCATTTACTGAAGAAGGTACTTAGAACTTGAAATAATAGATAGTAGTGAGGAAGTGTGCATCCTTACTTGCAGCTGAGATCTTGACTGAATGGATCATTTGCATTATAGACTAAATTTTGATTTAGACAAAAATTTCATCACAGCTTGAAAAGAGCATCACAAAATTAGTAATATTCCAAAGTTTCGTTGCGAAACGTTGTAAAATGCGGATAATATAGCCATGCGAAATTTGCCGTTTTTCTGTCATTTTGTATTACACACGGGAAATTGACAGCCCAATCGGGTGTTGGGGCATCAATTTTCCGTTTGTAATACAAAATGACTGAAAATTGCAAATTTTGCAAGGCTATATTATCCGCATTTTACAACATTTCGCAACGAAACTTTGGAATATTACTAATTTTGTGATGCTCTTTCAAGCTGTGATGAAATTTTTGTCTAGATCAAAATTTAGTCTATAATGCAAATGGTCCATTGGAAGAACGCATGATCGAGACGAGGGCGAACTGGGGGCTCCTCTGGCTATCACTGCATGACTCATGTTAGACTTGACTTCTCTAATTTGACCTCGTTACAAGAATTATCGCAAGCAAACGACAAAGGTACTGTTTTCCCCTCCCCTCTCTTCTCCTCCTCCTAATCCCCTCAAAAAAGAGAACGTATTTTGCGGGGATCTGTAGGTCACGATTGAAGGGTTAGTTTGAGATTTATCCAAACCCAACCTGTTAACATTCCCTGTGTGAGAAAAATGGAGTATCTAGATAAACCCACGACTTTTGGGAAGGGATTATTCCGCTGGCCTCAGAGTGACAAAACGTAACAAAGCAACAATTTTACTAACACTAACCCTACTCCAAACACCAATTCTAACCCTAACCCTAACCTAACCCTACTCCAAATTTGTTTCTGAACCAATCTTGAAGAAAAAAGTTTTGATGAAATGTCATTCTGAGGTCAGCGAAATAGTTGATGCCCGACTTTTGGCGTTCATTGACTTTAATAACTTAAAGGTGATCTACAGTCCGTATGTAAACAAAGCCTTTGTTTACATTTTTGTGTCCAAAATATTGAGCTTTATTCGACAACTATTTATATTTTCAAGCTTCTAGAGTATAATAAATGATCAAGAAGCAACAATCAGGCTTTTCAAGAACTCAAAACATAGTTAAACTGTTTGTATCATAAAAAGTGGGCTCATTTGTGCACATGCGCAGATCGGACTGTAGATCACCTTTAATTTACGATCTCAGAGGTGAAATGTGCTCGCTCATACGAGTGCGTCACGGGGCATATATGTAAATAATATATAGATAGCCAATTCATGAAATTACGCCATCCAGCAAGTTTCTCCAATAAAAACCCCAGATGGCATTTAGCAACTGTTGGTTACCTTTTACAAAGGATTGCCGTTAACCTTGATACATCAATAAACTTTCCAAAATTCATGTCAGTCTTGTCGACTTTCATTTTAGTTCCAGAACTAACCCTGGAACACATTAACAAACAACGAGTGCAACTCAGACCTAAACGTCGTCCTCCATCCAGAGACTTCGTAAGGTCTCGGGCTAGTATGAACTTTGATTTCGATGTGCCTGAAGAAATTGAGGAGGAAGATGAAGATAGCGGGCAGAATGAGGCTACGGAAGATGAGCAGAAGGTGAAACCAACGCCTCCCATCCCTGCCCCCAAGCCAGCAGAGCGGAACGGATGGAAACTACCAAATCCTGGACATGACGTTGTCCTGAGGAAAACGAAATCAGAAAATGTCGAGCGAGTAAAATCAGACGAAGTTCAAGAAGCAGAAATTGAAGAGAATACAAATGACTTTACTCCACAATCATCCCCAGAAAAGAAACAGAAAGAACGAAAAAGATTTAAAATGCATTTATTCAAATTTCGTCGAAGCCGCAAAGGCAAACTAAACGGGAAAACTCCAAAAATGGAAACCGAAAGAAAAACAAACTTAACCGAAACTTATTCCATGTCGGTAGATTCCGGCCTACGACCGCTAGGCGAAGATTCACGAGGACGCTGGCCGAATCGACGTTCGCGCAGGTCGGAGGAGAAAGGGCTGAATTGGCTTTTGGGAATTTTCCATAAAAAGAATACTCAACAGGGCCCTAAGGACACGAAGGATGCCGAACATATTCCGGATGATACCGAGGACGTAGCGAAGGATGCCCAAGATGCATCGCAAGTACACGCCACTGGTAACCATAGTGATACAAATTCGAATGGGAAACCGGAAGTAAATGGGACTGTACCGGAAGTAAAGTTAAGGAACGATCATACGTCACATGAAGACGACGTGAATCAAGACAACGTGTCAGACTTAAGACTGAAATTTGAAAGATTTTCAATGGTCTCCTAACATAAAGATTAAATTACCGTTTGGGAAATTTAGCGTCATTATGAGGCCAATTGTCCTGCGAGATTTTCCATGCGCTCAAAGGCGGTAACACGTTGTAAAAGTGACGATAACACGTTGTAAAAAGTTTAAATGAAATTATCAAAACCAAGGATATACGATAACAGAGTTAATCTCTTGCAATCAATTATTGTACTAATTTTTTTTAAAGCTCAGCTTAAATTCATATCAACCAATTGTTCACAATGTGCAGTGGATTACAAAAGCTACCAGATACATTAATAGATCAATTATTTTCCTATCTTACAAGAACTATTAAATTCATAACACAAACTTGCGCAATTGGTTCAATTGAATGCACATATAAATATAAAACTTTGATTGCTCTGTCGAAACTTGGTCCTAGCTAATACGGTATTGTTTCTAGAACAAAATATGAATATTCTCCGTTGTAAACGGAGATCTAACAAATGTATAAACTATTATCTCTAAGATGAAATATATTATGTCGTCAATACATACCAACTGAATATTAGCGATATTGTCTTACTGTTTTTCCTCCAATTTTGTTGACGAAGATCCAAACACAACATTTACTAAGCTCTGAATAATATCATCCTCCTTATTAGAAATTTGATTTCCTTCAAAAGAAAAACTTATGTGAAAACAGTGCTTCCAGTTTGACTCTACCAAACACCGCAGGGTTTCTCTCCTACAGTAACACTGGACGAAAGGCACAGTTCAGCCTTTTGAATGATGGTTTTTAAGGCGCATTACAAGCCTTTAAATTGAAAAAAAAAACTGACTAGGAAAATCAATTAAGCATAATTCAAGATCAGTGATCTCAATGTTTTTACTGATCTTGAATTATACTCAATTGATTTTCCTAGTGCCTTTAATGAGGGATGCCTCATACATGACCTCTAGGAAGGGCAGTATAGAACTGATAGATATATCCAGTATAAATATAATATAAATATAAAGTTACTTTAGTTTAGGTTTCCTCCTGTAGTAACACAGACCAATAAGGATGCATGGTTCCAGGGGCGAAAATACATTCCAAAACGTGACAGGGGGGAGACGGTGCATGACGAAGCGACGATTTATATATTATATTACGAATCTCCAAAAAGTGAGGGGGGCACTTCCTCCCCCCCAGGATTGACGCCCTTGGACCTAAACGTCCATTTAGGTGAACAGTTGAGAAGCATGATAAACGGCTATGGTCCAGTTTAAATAAAGTTAGCATAGTGGTATTATACTAAATGGCTGTACCTGAAATATCTTCGTGAAGTCGAATTTTATCATTAGCACATTTCAAGATGTCCTCTTCACAAGTATCCTTGCAAATTAGTCTATATACATTCACCTCTCTAAAGAAATAAACCAAAATGCAGATAAAAAAAACAGTGGCCACTAGTGTGTTTTTCCCCGTCCAACAATTTTTCAAGTAGTTGCAACATCTACAGATTTCGCAGCTAAATGCTGAATCTACAGTAATCCAGTGGAAAGGTAACAGGAAATTTTGAGCGGCAGATTATATACAATTTTTAGACCTAAGGGAGCGGTCATTATTTATGGCGGGGGGGTGGGGGGTGGCACCGAAGAGAAAAGGGTTGGGTAAACAAAATTTTGAGTGAGTAAAAGGTTGGGTAAATGAAAAAGAAAAACAACTCAAGGGTTGGGTAATAAAAATTTATTTCCAAAGCATGACTCACTGAAATACTGGAGACCAAAAAGCACTGTCAACAGTCAGATGTCAATATAATATGTGAATCAATCAGAGTCAATATCTTGATAATATTCCGATATGTTGAGAGACAGATGGTGTCTCCAAAGAAAGTACATGTGCAGACAACATGAAACTTTAGACTGCAGAAAATTGCACAAGCAGTTATCAAGCTCATGTCACAGAAGTGGTAAAGGACACGTGTTGTCACTGAATGGTATCCGTTTGTAAAGTTTTTGGCCAGGGGTGGGTATTTATTTTTTAATCGATATTTGAGGTTGGGTAATCAAATTTTTGGCTTTTTAACGGTTGGGTCAGCAAAATTTTTGCCACAAAAAACATTTCTCTTCGATGCCCCCCCCCCCCCCCATAAATAATGACCGGTCCCTAATCAAGAGCAGCTATGGAAAAAACTACAGGCCCTCTGGCAAGGAATCGAGCCTACGTGATTTTTTCAACCTTTGTAAAATGATGATTTTTCTGTGTTGGTGTAATGTACTCAGGTGAATATGATGCTTGTGATGTTACTCTGAGTGTATATCCACACTGGGCGAGCTTGAAAAATATGCCTGACCACGGTGGGAATCGAACCTACGACCTTTGGAATACTAGCCCAATGCTCTGCCAACTGAGCTACGCGGTCTGGTCGGTTAGAGTATGTGATATTTCGAAACAGAATCTAGTTCCTTCGATATCAATGTTATCTAATGTTATCTTTGTAAAATGCTTGAAAAACTGTGAAACTACGGATATAGACGACACAAGAAGTATAAAAAACATTTGACTTATAAATACTAAACTTTAATACGAGTTATACCAATCAACGACTGATTAACAAAGCTTGAAAAAATCACTATGCGCTGGATAGCGCTATCCAGCCTTCGTACAACCTGCCCCTGAGCTACACGGCAAAAAAAAACGATCAGGTTGTTGCAATACTGATTAAAACAGGTTTGAACAATGCTTTGCTGCCCACATTGTTCATAGTTCTCAACAACATTGAACAATATTGTTACACCCGATTCAGGCTCAACAATATTGTTCAATATTGTTGACAAGTGTGAACAACGTGGGCAGCAAAACATTGTTCAATCCTGTTGAGCAGCAGGCTCGGCGTTTTTTGCCGTGTACAGAGTCCACTTGTCGAGCAGCGGGCCGATTCGGCTTTAATTAAATGATATTTGAAAAATACTCTGTCAACGTCATCTAGCGATATCGTCAACTGACAACATTCGTCATTAACACTCGGCAAAACCTGAAATCGGCCCGATTAATCGTTGTATGTAAACGTAGCTTTACCTGGTTTGTCCCAAGCGGTGGCAGCGGCACTCGGCTTGTTTATCATTGTGAGGATTGTAGTCTGAATCGTAGAGAATGACGACATTCGCTGCTGTTAAATTAATACCCATACCTCCTGCAACGCGGTGAGAAGCTCGAGGTTAGTGTTAGAACTGGCTTTCAATATCGTGCAACAAACGTAGGGTGTTTAACAACAAGGCTACAAATCAAGACGGGTTTTTTTCCTTTTTCTGTGTTGGTGTAATTCGATGCTTGTGATGTTACTCTGAGTGTATATCCACACCAGGCAAGCTTGAAAAATATCAAGCTTGGCCGGTGTGGATATACACTCAGAGTAACATCACAAGCATCAAATCAAGATGTATTCGCTTGCTTCATAGAGGTTTCCTACCTGCTCTCGTAGATATAATGAACATAAATATGTCTTCTTCAGTGTTAAATCTGTCGATAAGACCTTGCCTAGGAGTGATGCAATATATTAATGAAACGAGTAAAATTTGTGAATGAAAATGTGAAAGACGGTAACAATAATTACACACCAACAAATCGTAACTTCTTTCACATTTACTGGTTTCTAAAGCAGTAGGGGAGTGCAATGTCCCTTTTCACATTGTACACTTTGTGAATGTTGTAGACATGTGGGTGAGTGTCCCTGTTCCCCCAACTTAGGTAGGCTGGAGGGGATATTTTGGAACTATGAAAATCTTACGATTTGCTTTCAAGCGCTTTAAAACGATCTATCAACGTTATTTATCAGCAAAATACTAAGCTGAAGAAGGCATGGTTCATATACCTTTCACACACCGATACACTGCCATCAAGTCTTAAATATTTGTGTCCTCTTGTTTGTAAATAAACTTCAAGTATGTCCATCGTCATTACGAATTGATTAAATAACAATATACGATCACCCTAGAGGAAGATGAGAAGTATTGCTGGAGAATTTACATTCATTTCGTGATTAAATGTAGGAGTGGAAAGCTGAATTACGAAGAACTCAGCTCAACCTGATCGAGACGAAGGCTTACTAAGGTGGACTTCATGACTTAGATTCTGCACTTCACTTGGTGGAATTAATATTAGAATGTTAGGGTTTGGAATCCAAGTGAGAATATATACATTTTAAGACCTAACCAGGAACGACTGCGAAAAATGCAACACAAGGTCCTCTGGTAGGAATTGAACCTACGGCCCTG